TAATGTGCACCTGAACTTCCTGGGGTTCTTGGGAAACACAGATTCTGACTCAGTGGGTCTGGAGTAAGGACTGAAATCTGCATTTCTCCTTTTTAAAAAATATATGTTTTTATTGATTTCAGAGAGAGAAAGGGAGGAGAGGGAGAGAGAGAGGGAGAGAGGAAGGGAGAGAAAGAGAAATACTGATGAGAAACTTCTACCAGCTGCCTCCTACACACCCGCTACAGGGGATCAAGCCCAAACCCAGACCTGCGACCTCCTGGTGCATGAGACCACGCTCAACCAACTGAGCCACACGGGCCAAGCCGAACCCTGGCATTTCTAAGGTTAATGTCAATGGTGACCATATCCACAGACCACACTTTAAAAAGCAAGATTATAGCAAGGCAGACTCGTGCTGAGTTTGTACTGAGCTTCCCAGCTCTTTAGTTCAGAGTCCCTGGAATAATCCTTTTGACCTGATAAGGAATTGTGACCATCTACTCTCCAGAAATGACAAGCATGGGAAATGCTGGTTATGTGGGGCCTGAAGCTTGTATAATCTTAGTGGCCCTTTTAAGAAAAAAAAATCTTTGTTTTGCAAATTTTACAAAATATAAGACATGTGGACAGAGTAAATTCCCTTTGTTTGGCTCAGGCCAAAGAGGTACTCACATCTTCCTTCTGAAAAAAATGATGTTTGGCCTCTCAGTGGCCAGCGACTGACACTTGTGAGAGATAACCACCAGGTGGCAGTAGATTTACACAGTCCCCTCTACCCCCTCTCCTGCCTCACTCATCAGAAATTTCCAAATTTTCCTCCAGCTGCCCCAGCCAGCTAATCCAACAAATTAATCTATGCTGTGATAAAAGGGCAAAAGGAGTTCATGTGCTTCTCTTTCAGTAGCATATTTTCCATTTAATGGAAATGATAAGAGATTGTTTTCTAAACCAGATAAAGAATGATTAATAGGTGAGTTCCGGCCACACTAGGGTCATGTATCACTATGGAGATATGTTTAGACAGGGGGACCTTTCTGTGATCCACAAATTGCACCTATGCAGGCATTCTAGATCTTACCACCTGTTCCCCCACCCCAATATATAGTTTAGTGTTTAGGCACCAGTTCTAGAGTTCAGCTGCCAGGGTTCAAATCCAGGTACTACCACTTACCAAGGATGATGTTAACATTTCTGTGACTCAGTTTCCTGATCTGTGAAATGGGAGTAATACCATTGATTTTTATATAATCGATGGGGACTAGGGAAAATAACACTTAAAGCACCAGAAAAGTGACTAGCATACAGTAAGCACTCGTAATCGGCTCTCATCTTCATCATCCCACACTTTGCCTGCCTTTTACCAACCAAGTTCTTCTCCTGCCTTTCCTCCAACCTCAACCCCCTACCAGGTGCCTCAAAGAACAGCGGGAGGATTGAGACCCAAACCTGGTAATAACCACCAGGCCAGGTTTTCTGGGCACAGTGTTCTCCAGATTTCATGACCTCCCCTCAAGTTGGGGCTGAACCCTAGGGACAGCAAAGCATACAAAAGGGGAGGGACACCGGCTGGACCAGACTCCAGATCAGGGGTCCTCAAACTTTTTAAACAGGGGGCCAGTTCACTGTCCCTCAGACCGTTGGAGGACCGGACTATAGTTTAAAAAAAAACTATGAACAAATTCCTATGCACACTGCACATATCTTATTTTGAAGTAAAAAAACAAAATGGGAACAAATAAGATATTTGTATTTGCATGTGGCCCGTGGGCCGTAGTTTGAGGACCCCTGCTCCAGATAGCCTGGCTCAGCATTTTTGCAGGAGATAAATCGGTGAGTATCACCTTGTGCTTACCACGAGCCCGGGATCTGCAGGTGAGCATGGTGTGTGAGGGCAGATGGCTGGGTGGTCATCTGTCCCAGCCCAGCTCCTTCCTGGGACCTATACGCACTGCCCATCATGGACAGAGGCTTCCTCTCCTGCACTCCTGTTGGATTCGGTGAGCTTTCTTTGCCTTCTCTCCCTACGCCCTCCTCTGTGGTTCCAATCCAATCACTCTCATTCTCATCTACGCTAATAGGCAAATGGTGAGTGGTTCTCAAACTTTGCTGCATATTCGAATCATCTGAGAAGCTCTTCCAATCTGATTCCCAGGCTAAATCCCAAAGCAATTAAACCAGAGTCTCTGGGAATGGGCCCCACGTGTCAGAGGACCAGTGTTCTAGAATAGTGTTCCTCAAGTCTTGCTGCACGTGCAAGTCACCTGGTGAATTTTTGTTGAAATGCACATGCTAGTTCAGTAGGGTTGGGGTAGACTCTGCAATTCTGTGTTTCTAACAAGCTCCCGATGATACTGATCCTGCCGGTCCACAGACCAAGCTTTGAGTGGCAAGGCTGTAGAACTATGGTCCTCACACGTGAGCATGTAGCAGAGCCTGGGGAGGGCTTGTGAGGGTCCATCCCAGGTTCAGGTTCAGGCGCTCTGGCGTGGGGCCGGACTACATGCATGTCTAACAGCTCCCAGTGACGTCAGTGCTGCTGGCCCACAGGGCACACTTGGAACGGCAGAGGTGTAGGGGATGGAGCCAGGCCTAGGAATCTGCTTCCCACCTCGCTAGCTCTGGGATGTTGGGGAAGTTATTTAACCTTTCTGAACTGTCATTACGTCATCTGTAAAGCGGCCATTTACGGGGCAAGGTTAATTGGGCTAACACGAGACACCTAACGGACTGCTTAGTGCGCCGGTCCTCCAATTTGATGGCCAACCTGAATTGCTGGAGGAGTTTTCAAAGTGACTAACCCATGCTTGTCGATTTCACTGGTCTGGGGTACTGAGCATCAGGACTTTTTTTTTTTTTTTTTAATTACTCAGGCAATTCTATTGTGAAGCCAGTACTATCTCCTGGCCTGGCACCATGGCTCCCAAACTTTGTATACATTGCACCACCGGTTGTTGGGCTGCACGCCCAGAGTTGCTGGTTCGGTAGGACTGGGGTGGGACTGAGAACTGTCACTTCTAATACAGTCCTAGTGCTGCGGCTTTGTGGCAGGGATTACACTGGTCCCGGGCTATCAGCAACGAATGTACAGAGCTGAGGTTAGAGGGTAATCTTGGTTTGTCCAGATCCAAACAGCAGGTTTGGCCCGCCACCAGCTGCCCCGGTACACCAATCTACAAGCCCACCTCCGTCTAGGAGGGCGGGGGAGAACCTCTTTGTAGGGAGGGGAGGAGCCTGCGTGGTTTGTCCCGAAGGAGAGGGTGGGGTCACTCAGCTCAAACATGGCATCGGGGGAGAGTGGTGGCCTTGGCCTGGGGGACGGGGGCCCAGAAATAAGATGTGCAGGTGGAAGCCACGGGAGGCCTCTGGGCTCCACACGCGAAGAACTTTTTAACGCTGAGAACTGCCCCGTCCGGAAAGGCACCCGCCTCCTCCCTGGCGGTGAGCTCCCTGGCCTGGGAGCTGGTCCAGCTGAGCTGGGAGTGGGGGAAACGAGGTATTTGACCTGGAAGATGTCTGCGGGCGCTTTGAAGTCTGAGACTGAACATCCCTGCAGCCTCCAATCCGGCCTTTTCTCCAGCGTTCTGTTTATCTAAGGAGGTGACAAGCTGGCCTGTGGCTGGGGGCTGGCTTTCCTGTCGGTTTCCTTCGCCTATCAGCCAGCGGGTTGCTTTCCCGGCTGGGGAGGGCGGGGGAGGCCGCCTCGCAGAGCAAAGCCAGCGGGCGGCAAGTGTCACCTCGTGAGAGCAGTGCCGGGTCCGAGCCTTCAGCTCTTACAGACGCTGCGGCTTAACGGGCCCCAGGCAGACGGCGCACCGGCGCGACGCTCCCGGCCCAAACGCTGCGGGACGGGAAGAGAGGGTGCAGCGCACGTGGCCGGCCACATCAGAGCACCAAGAGAACACCGAGTCTTTATTACAGGAATTCTAAGAAACAGCCCCAAGAGAAAACCCACACGTAGGAAAAAAAGGAAAAGGAAAACACTAATAAAGCAACACACAGACGCGGGGCCGGAGCTCCCCCGCGGTGCGCAGGGTTCCAGCTCAGAGCGTGGCCAGGACCACAGCCCAGGGGCCCGCCTCAGCCCCTCGGGGTCAGGTTCGGGTCAGGTCCGGCTGGGGCGCGGGCTGCGGGGCCTGGGCGCCCTCGTCTGGGAAGGCTTGCACCCCAACTTCCAAACGTGGTCACGTGCAGCCGCGGTGGCGCGCCCGGCCCCTCCCGCACCTCGGGACGCGGAAGGAAAGGGGTGCGATGGCGGGTCGCCTCCGCCTGCGGTCCTGAGCGCCCGCCACGCCCTCACCATCTCGGGGTGACTTGAGGCCACCCGGCCCCGCAAAAGCTTGGCTCTCGCACTCCCAGCCCCCGCGCGGCTGGGCTGCTTCCACAGTCAGGGGCGGGGTGGGGAGAGGAGGTGACTCACACCCCGGGCTGCCCAGGATTCCCGTCTCCCCAGAGGAGAGGTCGGCGCGCTCTCATCCCTCCCATTGGCAGTGGTCGACGCCGGGTAAGGTTCGCAGAAGCGGAGTTCTCCTGTTCCTCCTGGGATCATTCACCTGGATCTTGGGCTCTCGACAAGGGGCACCCAGCAAGCCCTTCTGCCCCAGGCGCTCCCACCCGGACCGACAGCCTGGACCCCTTGCCCCACACTACTCCTGCCTAACCAGGGTCCTCCAGCTCCGGGGCGCCACCCTCCCCATCCCTGCTGGGGGTCGTGCCAGTCCCTAAGGAGGCAGCCTGAGGGGCCAGGCAGGGTAGTCAGCAGATGCCTCTCTTTAGTGGCTCATCACCCCTCAGAGGGGGCCCGGTGACTGCCCAGGGCTCTCCCTCCTGGCACCCTGTGCAGGGGCTGTGCCATAGAAGACAGTGGGACTGAAGGGCTCAAGTGCCCAGAGGGAGCTGGGGATGGGGTAGGGGATCAGGCAGTGTCTGTGGCCCAGCAGGGGTGACAGGAAAGGCTGGGAGGCGGGGGCTCCACCATCAGGCCCAAGAGCCTCTGGGAGGGTCATCCTGCCCTTTGTGGCGCTCCCACCTTTGCCTGTTTCTGGATTTTTTTTTTTTTTTTTAAAGAAGGGATTTGGATCCTGCATTTCCACTCATTGCCCATAGAACAGCCTGGCTACAAAAGGGGCCCTGGTTGGCCAATCACCACCCTCCCGTACCCGCCCCCCACCCCTCCTTCCAGGTCCTTCCTCCAATCACAGCATGCAACTCCGAAGTTCTAAGTCCCATTGAAAGTGGCAGTGGCTCGGCTGGACTGTGGCCGGAGAATCGCTGGGCCTCGGTACTCAAGCACCATCTGTCCGTCTGTCCGGCTGCAGCTAGGCTCTTCAACTGGGGGCCGGTATTGCTCTCCGGCTGACTCCACCGGTCAGATCATCTCCAGCGAGGAGGAACTGTCATCTGGTAAGGAGAAGGGATGGGGAAGCCTTTTCCGGTGAAGCCCCGTGGTCCTTCACCACTGGTTCCTGGAGAGATGGTTTTGGGCAGAAGCTACCAAAGACAGAAACCCTCTCCTTCCTCTGAGGACTGTGTCAGCCTTGGAACTCTGCCTGGACACACACACACACACACACACACACACATCCAAGCTCCTAGAAATGGTCCAACTGACAGAACACCAGGGACTCTGACAGCTAGAGATGGAGTGGGGGACTAGAATTCCGGGGGAAGCCGCTGAATGGGAGGGCTGAGAGGAGGTGAGGTGCCCAGCCCCCTGTGATATAGTAGGAGCTCAGATGAGCCAGACTAGAAGCCTCTGTAGCAGCAGAAAAGTAAATGGGGGTCAGAATTCAGAGGCCCCACATACCAGCCTGAGGAGTTCATAAACCTTTAGGACTCAGAAGACCCACGCAGAGAGCAAGGACAAATGAACTAAAGTGCTCCGGGATGGAGTGAACAGAGTAGGGGCGGTGAAGAGACCAGTGGCTGTTAGCCGGGTGATGAGAAGGAAAAAGTAAGAGAAATGACGTGGGGAAGTCAGGGGGAGAGATGGGCCTTCAGTGCGTGGACATCTAGAGCTAGAAAGACAATCGTGGGCATGGCTGGGATTACGGAGCTGAGATGGAGATTCAGATTTTGGAGCCAAATGCACAACAGCATTACTGTTACTGTGAAAGAGGGTGGTGGCCATGCCATGGCGAGTGAAAAGATTTCTCTCTCTCTCTCTTTCTCTCTCGTTAATCCTCACCCGAGTATATTTTTCCCATTGACTTTTAGAGAGAGTGTAAAGGAGGGAGGGAAAGAGAAACATCGATATGAGAGACACAATTGGTTGCCTCCTGCTCGCACCCCAACCAGGGCCAGGAATTGAACCCACAACTCGGGTATGTGCCCTTGATGGGGAATTGAACCTGGGACCCTTTGGTGTGTGAGGTCGATGCTCTGATTACTGAGCAACACTGGCCAGGGCAGGCGTGAGAAGATTTCAAAGAGGGTCAAGGGCAGAGCTACCAGGAGAGCTACGATTGAGGGAGTAGGAGGAGTAATGGGAGACGGAAAAGGACCCTGAGAAGATAGATCTCAGGGTTCTGGGGCCATGGGAACCAAGGGAGGGCAGTTTCAAGAAAGACGATGGGCACAGCTTGCAGAAGAGGGCACCAGAGGACCCAGCACAGGAGGAGGCCCGACCTGGCAGGTGCCATTCTAGGGAGTGGGAGGGCCTGCCAGCCTGCAGTGGGTGAAGGAGGACGCCACTCTTTTGCAAGTTGGGTGATTTTTAAGATGGGGAGGAGGAGGGCGCAGACTTGAGGAAGGAGCTGGAAAGGGAAAAGCTGGAAGACTCAGGAGAAAAATGATGGGCACGGTCCTGTGCGGGAGTGGCTTTGGGCTGTACGTGTTTTCCCCGGGGACCCATGGGAAGGAGACAGCAGCACTGAGGGGGGTGCGGGCCTTTCCCATGGCTTTATGGGAGCCTTCTGGAGAAGGGAGAAGTGTGGGTGCAGCAACGTGGGTGAGGAAAGCCTGAGGGAAGTGCCTGGTGGAGGGTGTGGTGGGGAGTCACTAAAGGTGATGTGGAGGCCAGGCGTCCAGGCTGCAGGGACAGGGCACTGGTAACTTCCTGGCTGTGTCCTCTGTGCACTGGTTTGCCTTGCCGCCTCCGCAACTATCCTGAGGGTAGCACGTATTCCTGCGAAGCCTAAAACAGCCATACCTGCCACACCGTCAGCTCAAGAAACAGGGGGACAGGACAGCAGCTGGGAGAAGGGGCTGGAAGAGGGACAGGTGCTCCTGAGTCCTGGAGGAAGTGACATTCCCTGCTTTCTCCCCCAGGGATGCACAGGAGGAGAGGAAGAAAAGCAGCCGGCGGCCAGGGCTCCAGCCAGAATCAGAGCTGACCTGAGAGGGGCTGTTTCCTCACCTGCTTGCGGCAAATGCTACCCCAGCAGCCATTGGGAGAGTTGTGTGTGTGCACGGCCAGGGTGGGGCCATCCCTGTCTTTTCTACACTGTCCTCTCAGTGTGCTGTGTGTGTCCTGGACTGTTTTCTCAACGAGGCTGTAAACTATTGGAGAGTAACGCTGATTTTTTTTTTTTTCCTGTCTCCAGCATCTGGCATTGGCAGGTATGATTATCTTTCATCCAATAAATAAATAAATAAATAAATAAATAAATAAATAAATAAATAAATAAATAAATAAATAAATAAAAGAAATGCAAAAGACTAGTGTCCGACAGAAGCTCGTGTCCCCTGCCACAACGAGGAGGGAAGAAACTCAGGGCCCGCCCCATCTAGTTTCCTGATGCCTCTGGACTCCTGCAAAGACAGCCAGGGTGAGGGGCGGGCAGCCCTGGGCAGCTGTGGCTCCAGGCCTTACCTCTTACTGTCCTTCCCTTAGGGCTTCCTCCACCTTGGGCACCTCCTGCCGCCTGCCCCGGAAGTCTTCATCTGAAAAGCAGAGGGAAGCTGCCTCATCCTCCACCCGCAGGTGCTTGCTCAGCCAGCAAGAGCACCCCCCTTGTTTGCAGGGGCACATGCTGACCCCTGGGGGAGGGGGATGTGTGGGTCTGGTGAGAAGGCAGCAGGGCACAGGGCAGAGGAGGACGCCGGTCTGCCAGCCTGGCTCCATCCCTGAGCTCCACGACCTTGGACAAGATTTTCCCTCAGTTTCCTCATCTATGAAGTGGGACTATCCAGTGACCTCCAAGGCCCCTCAAGCCCTCGTTTCTGGATGTCTCCTGACCACCGAAGGTCCCTCTCTCAGAGGCATAGTGGGCTCTGAGGCAGTGTCTTCTGTCCGTGTGGCCTCTGGGAGGGACTGGAAGAATGCTAAAGGCCTTGGGCCCAGAGACGGAACCTGCCCAGAGCTTGGTTCTCAAGTTGAAGCCTGTCTGCCCCCGACACTGCACCTGGCTCTCTGTGCTCCAGGTAGAGATCTAGGTGGAGGTGTGGCCGGGGCTCCCTTTCAGGGGTGGGAGGAAGGGAGAGGCAACATGGTCTAAGTGGGAGGACCCATTTCTTTGGGTCACCTGCGCCCCAAAATCCTTGGTGTGTCACCCATGAAACACCCAGACCCTCTTCTTGGAGGGCCACTGACCACAGGCAACTTCGAGATCAAGCCACCCTGCCCTCCGTGCCTACCACAGGTGTGGCCCTCCACGTCGTCCAGGAGATTGGCTGTTGACGCAGCAGCCCCCAGCCTGCCCGGCCATTCAGGAAAACTGCCCCAGGGATGGGTGGGCACTGCCATAGGACTCCAACTCCCTGCCCTTAGTCCTCCACCACCCGCTCCAAGCTCAGGAAGCTTCCACCACACCAGCCTTATCCCCCAACACCCCCCCCTCAAGGTCTCCCCCAGACTCCGTTCCTTTCAGCTGGGCAGCCAGGCCCTGACCCTCCCCTACCTCCCCTCTGGTAACAGGGAAGCGATTCGCTCCCTGTTCCCCTCTGGCTGTTCAGCTTCTAATATCCTGGGCCCTATTTGACAATCATGGATGGAAGCCTGGGTAAAAATGGGGAAATCCTTATCTTTACTCAAGGAAGTGAAAGTGAGAAAGCAGAGCCAACCTGCTTGGAATGAAGCAGAGAGATCTGGGGATCAGTTCAACTGGAGAAACTAGGGAAAGGTTTGCTGATTTCAGCGGAACCACCATGTTTTCTCCCAAGATGTCGTTTACTCCAGGCAAAAAGCACAAAAGCTGCAGGACAATTCTAAGCCTCCAGTAGGAGGGGGGGCGGGGGATGCTGGCCCTCTCCCCAGGCCTGGTCATGGTGGTGGCGATGGGCACAGAGAGAAGGGGCAGCAGGCTGGCAGCAGGACTCAGGGAGAGGGGAGGGCTGCAGAGCCCGGGCCCAGGACTGAGGGAATGTGCAGCCTCGGGGAGCCCAGCCCAGGGTCCCGGTGCCCTTAGGACCCACCACTCCTCCCCCAGGGCCAGGCCAGAAAGGATATGACTGATGCTTCAACAAGTGTTTCCTCTTTGACTTCCTCATCTTGGTCTTCTCCGAGAAGGCCCTGGCCAGTTCAAACAGCTTCCTCCGGGTGGCTGCGGGCAGAGAGACCTGTGAGCCAACAGCGGGAGCACCAGGGAGCTGCCCACCAGGGCTCGGGGCAGATGCGCAGGCTGGCCCAGGAGCCCAGGGAGCTGGGGAGGTGACGCCAGGCTGGTGCCCTCGGGGAGTGAGGCTGCTGTCCTGGGTTGGCCTGCAGGGGCAGCACAGGCTACGGGGAGCTGGACCAGGGACAGCTGGCAGCCCCAGATCTAGGTATTCCTTCTCAGCTTGACAAGCGGCAATGCCTCTTGGCTTTCTTTCCCGCCGCCTACCCCCTCCCCTTGCCACCTCCAGAGTTGGTTCTGGGATTTCCGTGACTAATCCCAGATTTTCCTTGAAATGGAGCCTGAGAGGATGGCAGCCTCATTCACACATGGGTGTGTGTCTGTGGAGCGGTGGGAGGGGCGGGCAGGGGAAGGCGAGCCCTGGCTGGCAGGACTTTGTGGGAAGAGGTCACGGACCCGCAGGCCTCTCGTCTGCAGAAAGTGGGCTTAGCAAAGACCGCCCCACTCAGGCCCGGCTAAGCCACTGGCCCGGCTAAGCCACAGAGAATAGTAAAACTTGGGGGAAGGGTGTGGGGGTGAGGGCGGGTGCAGCACATGATTTTTCTGCAGACAGCTCAAGAGGATTTAAAACCTAATTTGTATCCAGACTCAGCTGCAGAGGGAAATGAGGCAAGAAGGCTGAGGGAGCCAGCCTGCGATTAAAATGTCATTTGGGTTCACCAAGAGTCGGCTGCATTAAAAATTCCGGGTGGCTCCCTCCCACCCACGAGGCCACAGGGCCAGGGTGAGAAGATCGGAGAGGGGGACATGGGCTGGACTCACATTTGCCCATGTGTTTCAACTTGTCCCTGAATAAGGCATCTTCAGACACGGCGGGGTTGGCGTCATTGGTTCCTGGAAGGGGGAGGCACCTCTGAGGGCCAGCTAGAGAGAAGAGTGAAGGCCCCTGCCCTCCACCCTGCCGCTCGGCTAATCCGAGTCACATTGTTCCCTAAGTCCCCTGTGAGTCGTTCTGATCCATCTCAGCGGCCCTGGTGTCTATAGTTAATTCAGGATCAAGGACAGAGGCTGCTGTTAAAACCCTCAGATGCACATCTGGTGGGGCCTGAGCTCCAGCCTGTTGCTTATGAATCAGTTCCACAGGATTTTCTCCTGCGAGCCGGGATCGGCTGAGCTCCCCGCCCCCTGCTTCCCGCCCCCACTCCACCGCACCATGTAAGGTCTGTGGATTCTGTCTCTGAGGCGGGCAGCCTGTGTGTGTGTGGAGGGCTCTGGTTGGCAAAGGGCCACTCTGCACATATATTGGCAAAGTCCAGGTGCTGAGTGTGGAACAGGGGCCTCTGGGTCTCTCTGCCCCATGTTCCCAGCCTGACCTCGCTTGTGCATCCCAACAGGCTGCTGTCCGCCCCCGGCCCTCCTTCAGCCACTTAGGGCTCCTGGAGGCATCTGGCCCGCTCTTGAGGCAATTCTTGCTTCTCACCATCTTACACATGAAGCTCAAAATTCCCTTCCCCTAATACAACAGCAGGGTCGGGCCCATGGTAGATATTCCCCAACTACCAGATGAATGAATGAATAATGAGTGAGCAACCCCTTCCCTGACTGGTCCTGCCGTTCTCCTCCCGATGCATTTGCTATAATCAACAGAGTGTCCTTAGCTTTGCTGGTAGCTCTACCCATTTCTTAGATGTATCTCCACAAGCTCCCCCTGGGGCAGAGACCAGGGCTTGGAAGTCTCTTGAGTCCTTCTTGTCCCTCCTCCTCACATGGACATTATGTGTTGTGGCGTGTCCCATTCTTGCCCATGTTCCAGACACCTCTGAGGAGTTCAGCCAGGGCGTTAGCCAATCCCGGCTGTGGGCTCCAGCAGCTGCTGGTTATAAGAACTCAGGGCTGCTAAGTAGAGGGGCCATCTCACTCCACAGTGAGTGCAGTGGGGGGACAGCACCCTCCTGCCAGCCCACCTTGTCACCCTACCCCCAACTCCAAATATGCAAAGCACAGCGGGGGGCTTCTCTCCCAGGAAGGCAAGGTTACCTGGGGCAGGAGAGGGGAAGCCAAGGTCATTTCCCACAGCCACGCTGCTGGACTTGGACTTCTGGGACTCGTATTTCAATCGATCTGGAAAAGGACCACATTCAGGTCAGGGAAGTGAGCGCCTGGGCTGAGACCAAGGCGGTGGTTGGAGGCCAAACCCCTAGACTCGCACACAAGCACACACAAAAGATGTGCACACACGTCTGCCGGCTGTCAAGGAACCAGTGATATCACAGAAACTACTGCCCTGACAAGCACTGGAATGGTAGAGTGGCAGAACCAGGAGGACTCTGAAGATCGTATCATCTAACTCTAACCCCTTTGTTTAAAAGGAAATGCTCAAAGACCCCCAGCACTTTTGCTACAGAACTGGGGCCGGCCTTGGGCCTCTGTCTAGCCTACCCTTCTCCCTGCACACCTTGTTCCTCCCCTGTGACATGCTGTCAGTCACACACACACTTGCCACTGTGACCCATAAGACAGACCTGGCACAGCCCTCTCGTTGCACTCCACCCCAAATACACTCTCTCCCTGAAGGGAAAAGGCAGCCAGGCTGGAGAGCTGGGCCCCTGAGCCAAAGACAACCCAAACACCCCCAAAACTCCAGAGCCCCTGCTCCAACATCCTCCACTCGGGGAGGCTCCAACTCTGGCACCCACGGACCAGTCACTGTTCCTGGAGCTCCAGACACATCATGCCAAGGCCAGTGCATGGCACAGAGCAGATGTGTAGGGGAAAGAAGAGGGCACACCTCTCTTCCTCTGAATATGGGGGTGGGAGAAGGGGTAGCTGGTGATGCTGGTCCCCGTTTGGCAGGATTCTGGGGCTCCCCCAGGGATCATGTGGTGTGGGCCATGTCCCAGCCCTTGGCCTCCAGCCCCCTGCCTCGCCTGAGCCCCAAGGCTACAGCCAACATCAGCCACTTCTTCCGCCATGGAGAAGGGGCACAGCGCCCCACCCGGTGCACCACCTCTCTCCAGGGCCAGGAGGAAGTCTCTGTTGCGCTGCAGCTCCTTCATGAACTCCTCGTTCTGCAGGAAGAGCGCGATCCTCTCGTCCTCCAGGTACTGCTTCCAGCGGCTCTCCTGGTCCCGGGTCCCGGGCCCGGCCGCAGGGGGCAGGCCTCCCTCTCTGTTCATGGGCTTGGAGGCCCTGGGGTTGCCCTGAGGAGGAAAGTGAGCATGTTGAATGCCTAGTCACAAGGGCACCCGAGCATAAACATCCGTGCACACCTGGGTGAACACCTGTCCTGTCCAAGGATCTTCCAGCCGCACCCTGGGACCTGCACCTCCTTTCAGGACCCAGTCACAGGCCCAGATCCAACTGCACGGGCCACAGTCCTCTCTGCTAAGGAAGCAGCAAGGGCTTAACAATGACTTTTCCTCTCCTGGACCACCCCATGCCTTTCTCTACACCCTGAACAGTCCTGAAAAGTGATCTGCAAACTGCTCAATAGCCGACACACGATCCCCAAACTCAAAACTCTCGCTGCACCAGCGGTCTCAGGGTGCCACCCCCTCTGCAAGAGCCCTTAGGACATGCCCACCTCTGGGGAGAGGCGGCCTTGGCCCTTTCCCAGGAGAGGGAAGGAAGGTGCTCTGGCTCCCTGCCATTGGCTAGCCCCATGCCCACCTCCCTCAGGCCTGGGGTGATGGCTGCAGCCAGAGTGTCCTCAGGGCTGTCACCTTCCTGGGTGGAACAGGAAACCTCCCGGCCCAGACAGGAAACGAGGCTTTCGCTTCAGCATTCTTTCCCTGCAAACCCAGGGCAACAGAAACAGCTCTGCCCGGGCTTAAATATCAGAAAGTGAAACGGGCTGACCCAAACTGTGGGCAAGCGGAGAGGCTGTGCAGCAGGCGGGGCCTCCCTTCATACCTGCATGCTGTCCAGCTGCTGGGGCAGGATGCGGAGAAAGTCGTCAGGGAGGTTGCCCAGCAGTGGCGGGTTCCAGTTCCGATAGCGCCTCTGGCTGGAAGCGGGTGCGGAGTCCAGCACGTCGATGCTGGAGGGCGAGAGGTGACAATGAGGAGGGAACAGTCAGGCCCCAACACGGGTGTCCTGGTCCGTCCCTCACACCAGGATCCTGCTCAGAATGGCACTCCTCCTTCCCGTGGCCTCCGCTGCTTCCACTCACAGCTGTGCATGCACCACAGTGCCCTCGAGGCCTCTAAGCCTCTAGGGCAGTGGTTCTCAACCTTCCTAATGCCGCGACCCTTTAATACAGTTCCTCATGTTGTGACCCCAACCATAAAATTATTTTCGTTGCTACTTCATAACTGTAATTTTGCTACTGTTATGAATCATAATGTAAATATCTGATATGCAGGATGTATTTTCATTGTTACAAATTGAACATCATTAAAGCATAGTGATGAATCACAAAAACAATATGTAATTATATATGTGTTTTCCGATGGTCTTAGGCATTCGACCCCCAAAGGGGTCGCGACCCACAGGTTGAGAGCCGCTGCTCTAGAGCTCTCTATTTGTGGCGCTTGTGCTGGACGGTGTGGATGTAGACGTAGATGCTTATAAACATTCTCTAAAGCAGCAGGGGATCGTGTCCTTTTATGCTTCTATCCCTAGCACCCGGCGCCGTGTGGCTGCTGAGTAACAGGTGTGCTCCAAATGAACCAACAGCCCAGCCCGCCCCAGGCCTTTATGCATGTTATTACGCAGGGGGCGGGGGGAGGGTGCGGGCATGAGGACACCAGGACCCCTAGAGAGTAGAGCAAATCCCGGCTCCAGTTCTGGCACAGCCACAAGCCAGCAGGGTGGTCTTGGGGGAGACCTGCTCTCCTCTGAGAGTTTCTCTCATCTAGAAACTGCTGCCTCCCTGCCCGCGCGGTACAGCCCCACTCCGGGCTCTTGAACAGCGCTCGGAAAGGCACACTGAGCAGGAGGTTCTTGTTCCAGGGGGCGCTCGGGGCTGCTCCTCAGAGGCCAGGTGCCTGGCAGCCTGGCAGGAGGTCTGTGCCACGCAGAGGCCACAGCCAGAAGGGAAGGAGAGGAAGAAAGGCAGTAGCCGTGCCCTCCCCATTCCCGGGCTCCCGCCCTGCCGCCCTGGGCCTGAGGGCAGCCTGGGGCCCCGCCAGGAGCTCCCCACAGCTCCTCGGTGGCCTGCAGCGTGGCAACCGCAGTACACGTGTTCTGCTGAATCCGGGAGTGACACACGCAGGAGGCAGCCGGGGGCGGTGGGGGCCCCTTTGGCTCCAGGGCCTGGCTTTGATTTGGTCTCTAGCTCCAGGAATCCCGCGGCCCCCTCACTGGAGGGGAGCTTTTCCGGGCCAGGCTGCCGCTGCCTGTGGAAATAACTTCCTTTCCTTTTCTATTTTGGGCGGGTGGCCTGGCGGGGGCCAGGAGGAGGGGCGGGGGCGGCAGCAGACGGGATAACAAGCTGCTAAGTGCGCGGTGGGAGCGGCACAGGCAGACTGGAGCCAAGGGAACCCCAGCCTGCCTCCTCACCCCCTCATCTGGCTGCACGGAGGAGGGGACGGTCTGCAGAAGAGCTTGGCCGATTCCTAAGCAGCTTTGTGTCTACATCACTCTGCCTTCTGTCACTGTCGGAGGCTTCATTTTCTCTAAGGGCCTGAAAAGCAAGGGAGCGGGCACCCCATTGCTCGGGGGGGGGGGGGGGGGGCCTTGAAGACCAGCGTTGATGAATCCCAAGCAGAGAAATCCTCTCCAGAGTCAGCACCCTTCCTTGGGCTTCAGGGTCTTTATCTGGGACATGGGTGCCCACCCCAACACAACCACACCTCGAGCCACCCAGGAGAGCTGCGGCGGGCAAGCCCTGGAGTCCCACTGGACTCCTCTAGACATTTCACTGGAAAGCCCAGAGGGGAGGGGGACGAGGAGCGCCCGTCCTGTCCTCAGCTGAATCCCTGGCTGCCGGGCTCCAGGTCCTGGAGGAGGGGCAGGCCCCGCCCCCTCCTGGCCCCGGCACCCGCGGAGATGAGGTCAGCCCGTAGCTGTGAGAGACAGGGGGGCCCTGAGCCCAGGCAGCCCAGGCAACTCCACTGTGGTTGGAAAGGAATGTCAGAAATGAGCCGGGAGGCAAATAAAAAACTTCCAAGGCTGTACTTTCAAGGGGAAAACAGCAGGTGGCCTGTGCAGAGGGGTCCTCTGGTTTCAGGGCCTATCTTTTATTCAGAAGACAGGGAAGGACAGGCTGGGGAAGGGAAAGGAGAGAGAAGGCTGGGGAGGCTCCCCTGCCCTGAGCCTGCCCTTGGACCCCAACATTAGTACTCCACTCCCAATCAGACCTCCCGGTTTACCCAGGGAACAGACCCAGAAGGATTTCAGAGCCAAACCTTCCAGGCAGGATTTTTGGTAAAGCATGCACACTGAGGCCCAGCTGGGTCAGGCCCTCTCCTAGGGCACCCAGATCCTTCAGGCAGAACCTGGACCCAGGATCCAGGCATTCCAGGCACACTCCCCTGGGGTCACCTTGCCTGTCTGTGCCCCAGCAGGACAAGCTCCCTAACCCCTCCCCATCTGCAGTCTCACAGGCACCCTAGGCCATTCCTCCCCCAACTTCCTACCCAAATCTGATCTCCACCAGCAGCCAGAGGGGGATTCTAAAGCACTAACCACATCACAGCACTCCCCAGCTTAAACACCCCGGCTGCAGGATAAAGCACAGCCATGACCTGCTTGCCTCTCCAGCCTCACCCAGCCGTTCCATACACCCTGCAGTTCCCCGGATGATTCCCTCATCCCTGCCTCCAGGCCTTGGCGCATGCTGTTTCCTTTGCCCGGAATGCCCTCCTGTCCTCCGCTTCACCAGGTTGCAGCTTGGACATCAGCTCCTCAAGGCAACCCTGCCCCCCTGCCCCCAGGTCTGTGCCTCCCCCAGACTCTGATCTCCTTGCAGGGGGCAGGGGGAGGTGTCAAGGCAGTGCTGTGTTCATCGCTGCATCACACACATGGTTCGGCACCTACATACTGCGGGTGGCTCACTAAATGCTGGGTGGAGAGACTTGGGCTTAGTAGGGCCATCCTGGAGCAAAGGGGCACATGCTGGGAGGCTGGCACTGCCCCTTCTGAACACTGGCCTCTGAGGGAAGCCTCGCCACTGGTCTCAGTGTTCAGTGTTAGAGCTCAGAGGCCAGCCGTGCAGCGGGGGTGGGCAGAGCAGTGAACCGAGGATGGCAGTAGATCTGACCAGGCCTGGCACTCTGTGAGTGCTCCACCCACAACTCTCACTCAATCCTTCCAACAGCTCTGGGGCGGGATCAGCATTCCCATTTCACAGATGAGGCAAACGAAGCTCAGAGACATCAAGTAGTGAGCGAAGGGCCACAGAGCAAAGGCGCCTAAAAGATCAGAAGTCAGGCAGCTGGAGGAAGGGGGGAGAGAGAGAGCATTCTGCTCTAGCTGATTCCACAACCCAAGTTCTCTTCTCTGTATCCACCCCCAGCCTAGCAAAGCCTTCAGTTCTGGGTCAGAGACTTTTCAAAGCCACAGGGTCTGAACGAGGCCTCCTAAGCTTTGGTCTAGTGCTAAGGTCACCTCACCCCCAATTGGGGCTCCGACCGCTGGACTGCACCACCCCTGCTTCCAGCCCTACCCCACCCACTGCGGCTGAACACCCAGCCAGAGTAGGGCAGGGAGGACGTGGCCAGGATACCCACACCAGGTTTACACTGGGATCCTGTCTCTTACGGCCTGTTTTCCCTTCTGAAAAATGGGCAGAACCACTCTAACAGAAACTAGACCATCTGCAAAAACATCTTGGGATAAATGTTTTAAAAGTCAAAGGGAAATCATTTAGCCCCAATCCAGGCTGCAAGTCCTGCCAAGGTCTCACCCCAACCCACCTACTTACTCCCTGCCTCCCAGCCCATTACAGCCTCCTAGTCCCACTTGTGATAAAAGGGGCCCCGCTTTGCTCCTGTCCCTGCCTCAAAACATTGCTCTCCTCCCTCCCCCCATAATCTGTGAGGCCTCTCTCAGCTCCCCAAGATTCAATCACAGAGAATTTTCTCATCAGGGAGGCAACTGGACACAGCAATTAAGAGCATTGGTTTTGGAGTCAAAATGACCTGGGTTCAAATCCCAGCTCTGTAGTCTGGGGGTGATTATGAAACCTCTCTTAGGCTCAGTCTCTTCATCTGTAAAATGGGGATGACGGCTGTGCCCACCTCGGAAGTTGTTAGAGGATCTGAATGTGATGGCTTGCCAGTGCTTCATAAATAAATGGTAGCTGTTATTATTGTCTATACCTGGATGATAACAGAGTTCTCCACTGCCACCATCAGAGGCTCCCAAGATCCCCAGAAGAGAAGATCCACTAGGACAAGTCCCCTGTCCCATCATTTCCGCCACCCCTTACCACCCCAGGCCTGAGTCATTCTCAAATCTGATCTCAGGAACAGCAGCTTTCGGGCAAAGAGACACCTGGGCTCCAGCAAGCCCCACCCCAAACATGAAGTCCAGAAAAACAAGCACCTCAGTGACCCAGGGGACCCAGCTGACAGCCAGTTTCATGTTAAATTTCCAAATTACAGAGTCCCTCACCCGGAAGAAGTCTCCAAGGACCTAGCAGTCTACCCCCCTGCTTCCAGTTATTGAACTATCCTAGAAAAGGAGACTTACTTGCTCCCATTACTTTTAAAATCCCCCACAACATCCCTAGACCAGGGATGGCAAACACATATCATCCCATCAACTACTGGTGGCCGTCTGGGAGTACTATGGTGGGAGGATTCTGAGCAGGAACCAGCACAGTGATCAATCGTAACCTTTGCCACAGGCTGGAGAGGGGAAGTGTCAGTACACATTCCACGTGTTTGTCATTCCTGCTCTGCATCTCCATCGACTATCGGCCCTCAGAAAGCAGAGGCTGAGCCTTGACTCTGTCCCGTCCGGTGTCCGGCATAGCACTAGCCTGGAGTGGGAATTTAGTGAATGTTTGCTCTTGAAAGTTCTTCTTGGTATCTAGCGAAAATGGGTCTTGCTGCAGGAGAAGCCTGTTCTTGCTGAGGGGTCTAGCCAAGATTCCCACTGTGTTTGTACTCCGTCCCAACCCCCGGTCCCTTCCCCACTGCTCTGTGCGGGGACAGGAGCTGCATTCTCACCGGGGAGGTGGAGTGGGCGGAGCCAGAGGGTAAGGCCTGTCGAACATGTGCATGTGGTAGGCTGGTGGGGAGTACACGGGTGGGGGCTCTTCATCGGAGCTATCAGGTTCCAAAGTCCTTTCCAAGATCTGTATCAGAGAGAAGAAAGAAAGAAATATTAGCAGCTCTTCCTTGAACTTGAATAACATTTACACGTAATCAGGTGTGGGCGAGGATGTGTAGTAAGAGAACTCTGCGTTGCTGGTGGATATGTAAATTGTTACAACCAGCACTTTGCAAAAAACCAGTCTGGCTTTATGTACTGAAGCTAAACGCATGGCTGCCCCTGACCCTACAATTCCAACTTCCTCAACAGACAAGAAAGCACAAGTCCCCAAAAGAATGTTCAGAGCAGCATTATCCGCCCAAGTACGGTTCAGAAACAAGCAAAGCAAATCGCCGCGAGAGAAGTCAGAGCAGCGTGACCTCTGTGAGGGTGGGGAAGGCCAGAAAGGGGCGTGAGGGGGCTTCCGGGTTCCTTTGATGGGTCTTGATCTGACTGCTGGTGAAACGTCACTTATGATTCATGGACTCTTCTATACACGTGTTATTGCTGATAACTAACTTTAACATCAGCCACACCCTCTCTCAAAGTGCTTCCACATGGATTATTTAGCCTTAGCCTCAAACAACTTGGCAAGATAGATATGGATTGCTACCCCATTTTATAGATGAGGAAACTGAGACCCAGGCTGACTAAGTGACATGGCAAAAGCCACTCAAGTGTTTTTAGAACATGGTCTCCTCAGCAAAGGTCCCTCCTTCCTTCACAATGCCTGCATTCCCAGGGTGGATCCCCAGGGTGCTAAGTGGCAGGGGGTGTGTCGAGGGGGTGCCTCTCCCTCTTAGACTCTTGTCTTCATCCAAGAGCCAGAAAGAGGGGCAGGGAGAGGCCAAGGGGTGAGCAAAAGCTGGGGTTCTGGCTTGACCTGGACCCTTCCTCAAAGGCCCATAGAGGAGTCTAGGGCAGGAGGCAGCTCTCAGCCAGGAGATCCCAGGTCACACAACCCCAACCAGCCTATATCTTAGCCTCCTGCTTCCCTGTCCTCTCCTCCCCAGCTCTGTCCCCAACTCCCCTGAGACCAAAGAACATGGGAAGGGCTCGGGGGATGTCAATCAGCCACAGAGTCCCCAGGCCCCACATCTTAACCTCAAGTGAGTTTGCAGAAGTCACTGCTAAACTGACTCTGCTCTGCCTCTGCAAGCCTGGGCCAGGCTGGGCTGCAGAGGCTCGCAGGGACACCTGGCAGATGGGCAGGTGGTGAGTGAACACGCACACATGAGCACACACACACAAACACACACACGCACACGCTCTGTGCACACACTGCCAGCCTGACCCAAGGAGACCTCCCGCCCTGGAATGCACTGACGTTCTTTCCTTTGAGGCGGAAAGTATTTAAACAGATGCTTCTGCAGAAAAGGAGAATGTAGCTGCCTTTCAGGCTGCTACTCTGCCTACCCCAAATTTCCACAAGAAGAGAGAGAGAACACTGCGGGCTCCATTCCCATTCATGGGCGGACCCCCGGTACCTGGCACAGGGCAGCGGCTCAGCAACTACCTGGCACATCCGGAGTCCATGCTGCTGCTGTCCCCCAGCCCACATTCCCTGTTCCCCAGACCTCGCTGCTCTGAGGGACAGGGTTCCAGGCTGAGCCTCTCCTCCCTCAGTGGCTGGCCTGGTCTGTCCCCACTGAGGCTGGTGTGAGTGAGATAGGGGTGAGGAAGGGAGAGCTCAGTGGGAATCGTTCCCAGAGGGAAGCTGCTTGGGGTTTCCCATAACTGGTGTAGCAGTTGGACCCCAGATTCAGGGAGATCAGGCTTCCACAACTGCACCAGAAGGACCCCTCCTTTCTCAGCCTCTCCTGCGCCTCAGTGCGGCCTCCTGGGGCTGCGAGAACCAGGCGTTTATCAGAGGCTCCTGGAGCAGAACAAGGAAACGCCAAGGAGGCAGGCCGCGGGCCAGGCACGCTCCGGAAAGGCTGATCCCCCGTCTCTGGGGAGAGTAACCCCAGCCATGTTCCTACCCCCTCAACCCCCCACCCCTGCGGCCTTTCTCCCCCCAGCCTCACCAGCCACAATGAGATTGTTCTTCTGACTCTAAAGGTGTTGAAGTTTTCGGCTCTGCAGCCTCCTGACTTAATTCAGTGTGGGTGATGGATGCCTGCCAGGTGCTCTAAGGGTCAGGGTCTGGCCATTTATCTGACAGAAGATGTTTCTCTGTGGCCAGGGTACCCCTCTGGCCAGCCCACCATCCATCAGCCCTCAGAGAGGGGGCCTTTTCCAGTCAGCAGTTATTGTCATTCCAGCTGCTGCTCATAAATTTTCCGAAGCACTTTCCGCTGGCTCAGGAACTGCCTGCCGGTGGGCCCCAGCTGAGCTCCACACGTGGGGGGTTGGGGAAACAGCCCGGGGGGGGGGAGGGGGCCGAGAAGGGGCTCAATCTGGAAAGCAAGATTCTTAGAAAAACAGAAGCCCCCACAGTGCAGACCTATGCAGAGGATGCTGAAGCCGTGCGGAGGTTCTCGGGGCTGTGGGTGCCGTGAACAAGGAGGAAATAGCATCCCACCTGCCAGACCGTCAGAACAAATGAGACTACAGGGTCAGAGTTCACAGAGAGCCTTCCTTCCAGCTCACGCTTAAAGGATGTATCTGTAAACACATGTGTGCGCGCGCACACACACACACACACACACACTCGCCGTCATGCATGCACTCACCCCTCTTTTTCACAAAGAAGATCTCTATGTTCTAATACTCCCTCCACTTGCTAATCCAGGCAGGTCAAAGGAGTGGTCTCCAGGGGAAAGAGACTAAAGAAAACTAGGTAAAGACGGCAGCACCATTTATTCGTTCGACAATATTCCCCGAGTGCCTGCTCTGTGCTAGGGCTGTCCCGGGTGCGAGAGGAGACACCAGGATGAGCCAGATGTCATTGCCCACAGAGCTGGTCCTCTGCCTGGGGAGAGGAAGCCCAGGCAGCACCCGTTCAGGGAGGCTTTGCCCTGCAGGGTGACTCTGATTGGTGGACGGCGGCTGCCTGCAGGGCTGTGTTGAGTAGGATCTGAGGCCATGTCTAGGTCTAGGTTTTCTCACTGTAAATGAGGGCAATAATAACGCCACCTCACAAAGCTTGTGAAGACTAGAAGAGAGGCGACATCTAAAGCACGAGGATGTGCCTGGCACAGGTTGCGACTCAGTGAAGAGCAGAGTTAAGTCCCCTCCGCTGGGTCCTTCCGTCTTTGGCTGCGTGTCCCACATGCCCCTGCAGGCAGTGACCCTCTCGCTGAAAGACTGTGAGCCCGTTCTACACCCAGCGCTGCAGGTCTTGTGGCGACTGGGGCCAAAGGTATACTGAACTCTGGGATGGGGCCAGGAGATTGGCCACATCCTGCAAGTGGGTTGGTGGCATCTCCCCCATCTAAAGTTTGAAGATTGCGGAACCGGTTTGGCTCAGCGGATAGAGCGTCGGCCTGCGGACTCAAGGGTCCCAGGTTTGATTCCGGTCAAGGGCATGTACCTTGATTGTGGGCACATCCCCAGTGGGGGGTGTGCAGGAGGCAGCTGATCAATCTCTCTCATTGATGTTTCTAACTCTCTGTTCCCCTCCCTTCTTCTCTGTAAAAAAATCAATAAAATATATTTAAAAAAATAATAAAGTTTGAAGATTTAGGAGAGAAGGGCTCACTACTGTCTCCATCATGCCTCAGTCAGATGAAGTCTGATGTCACTCCTCTTCTATGGCTCCCTATGCTCTGGGGACACAGCCCCACTCTCTCCAAGTAAGGCCTCCTCAACCTCCTGGTCTCCACTCACTCAAGGATCCTGACAGATGGTCCGGCTGTCAGTCCCCCAGCGCCTCATGCTCTATTTCACCTCCGAGCTTTTGCCCAAGCTGCTCCCTCTGCCTGCACACCTTTGCCCTCATTCTTCACTCTTCTTTGGGGTCTCAGCTTAGCCATCCCTCCTCCAGGAAACCATACCCTCCCGTCCTGCTTCCGTTTCTCCCATCATAGCTCTCATCACTCTGGGCTGTCCTTGCCTGGTTCTTGTCCCCATGTTCCACTGTGCCGTGAACTCTGTGAGGGCAGAATCTTTGACTTGATCAAGGTGGATACCCAGAGGCTCAAGAGTCGAATTTCTTGAAAAATACAGACTAGCGGGCTCCAGCCTTGGATTGACATTCCCTGTGTTGGAGGGGGCCCAGGTGTCTGCATTTTTAACAAGCTCCTTGATTCTGATGACCCCTGACCCCGGGTCTAATACCATGCCTGGCATACCACTGAGCAGGTGCTCAGAGCTTGTTGAATGACTGCATGATTTTCTGCCCATCCAATAAGGCCGCTGACCGACTTGAGTACCGTTTCCCTAGGAAAAAGAAGGCTGCTCGCTAGTTCGAACCCAGGCAGGGGTAGAACCCAAGTCCTCTAAGGTTCAAACAGCGCTGGAGCTCCTGGTGCATTACCAGGCCGCGCCCCTACCTCCGGGGGAATGCTGTCCTCCGAGTCCGAGCTGTCTTCATAGACGCCGCCGCCACCCCCCTCCAGGTTCATCTGCAGCAGCTGGTCGATGGTGGCGTCCACGGCGCCGCTGTTGGCGCGCAGCACGCACTCGATGATGTCGTAATCCATGTTGGGGAACATGGTCTTGAAGTCGTCCATGGCCTGGTTGAACTCCAGGCGGCGCACCTGGCGGGCGGGCCGGCTGTTGTTGAGCTCCTGGGCGGTGGGCGTGGCGCTGCCCCCGGCCCCGCGCGCCCCGGCGGAGCCGCCCCCGCCGCCGCCACCACCGCCACCACCGCCGCCACTGCTGCTCCGGCGGAACAGGCTGGTCATTTTGCCGAGCCTTTGGGCGAAGGTGCTGCCCGGCGGCGCCAAGCCCTTTTCCCCAGATCCCTGCGCCGTCTCGCGCGCTTGGCGGGCTCGGGAAGCTACTCCCGCGCCTTGCCCGGCCGCTGGGCGACCAGATGGGGACCGGACGGGCGGGGTCCCCGGGTCAGGAAACTAGGTGGTCCTCTGGGAGTGGTCTTCGTGGGGCGGCGGCATCCGGGCCTGGGCCGTGGGAGGCTCGATGGCTGGTCATCCACACCCCCAGAGCATCCTGGGGCCAGCTCCACGGACGGTCCCACCTGGAAAGGAGGAAGACAGAGTCAGGGGCAGAATGCAACAAACTGATGGCCAAGGGGGACCCCTGCCACGCCCACGGGGGAACTGCCTCCTGCGCTTTCCCCAGCTGCAATAATGAAACAGCCACAGCTCGTCACTCACAGGGAGGGCTATACTAGTTGGCAAGGGCTTACTCTGTGCCAGGCACCATCCTGTGTTCTGTGTGGCCAAACTCAAGACCCCACTGAGGCAGGTGCTAGTATCCCCATTTTGGAGACGGGAAAACGGAGGCATAGGCACTGAGAAAGTAGAGGAGCTTCAATGAGAATTCAACAAGGTGATCCTCAGCCCAGTGCCTGGAACAGGGTTAGCTCTGTGATTGCTGCTGCCACTGCCCCAGAAGGCTAAGGAAGAAGCAGGAACCGTCACTATACTGGCCCCACTGCCACCAGAGTAGATGGGGCGGGGGATTCTAAGGGATCCTTCCCCACTATTTGGATGTCAACCCCCGGAATTCCCTCTAGAAGGAGATACTGGTCCTCAGAGCGCCAGGGGATGTCTGGCTGGCCTGGACAGCTGGAGACCCGACAGGTCAAGAAGCCTCTTCCATTAACCCCGGTGCAAAGCCTTGGTAAAGTATTTTGTGTGTGTGCCGTGACATATGAAAGGCTGACAACTCTAAGCCAGCCCCACACCCTGCTCTATAATGCAGATGAAGAGATGAGGCCCAAGACGAGGGGGGAGTTGCCCCAGGACACAGAGCCAGTAGAGGCAAAGCCCAGACTTCTCCATCAAAGGGTGGTCCTGCGCATGAGGAGAGAGTGGCTCAGAAATGGTCCTGGGAAATGCAGGGGGAAAGGAGCTGATGTATAGAAATACCATGTTCACGGGGCTCTGCAAGGACTCCCAAGCCAGGCTGCCTGTAATTAGCACCCGGTCGGGCTTAAGGCCCCCATCTCTCAGAGGACTGTCCCCCGCCTCCTCTCACTAAACTCAAGTGCAATCTGAGGCCAGGGCTGAGGTGTGGCTATCATGATTGGGAGCAGAGAGAAGGATGGTCCTCAGGGTCACAGTCATCGATCTGTCCTAAGCTGCCTTTGCAACCAGCACGGCTCAAATGAAGAGCAATTTAAAACACACGAAAGAATTAAGGCAGGATTTAGGTTTATGAGCTGTGCCAGGCACTTTCACATTTAATCTTTTTTAAAAAAACATATTTTTATTGATTTCAAAGAGGAAAGGAGAGGGAGAGAGATAGAAGCATAAATGATGAGGGAGAATCATTGATGGCTGCCGCCTGCACGCCCCACACGGGGGATCGAGCCCACAACCCAGACATATGCCCTGACCGAAACTGAACCGTGACCTCCTGGTTCAGAGGTCGATGCTCAATCGCTGAGCCACACCGGCCTGGCTTCACATTTCATCTTGATTACAACTTCAGAGATAGATGTTATCATCTCTCCTTTTCATAGGTGGAAACCAGTTCAGAGAAGTTAAGTAACACGGGCAAAGTCACACAACCAGTACACAGAGGGGCCAAAATTAGGAACCCACTACCTAAGAACCAAAACTGCCAAGTCAGGCTTGCAGGGCTAAGAGCCAAGGAGCCTCGGAAATGCAGCCATGTGTGCCCCAGGCCCAGAGACTGGGCACAGCCTGGCCGACATTCCAGCAGAGGAAATGTGACCCAGACAGCAGTGGGGAAGGAAGGGGAGGAGGGGTGTCTGTTGGCTGTGCCCCAAAGCTGGCTCTGTGACCTTGGGGAAACCACTTCACCCCTCTGAACCCCAGCTGCTGGGCACTGGCAGGGCAATAGCTAGCCCTGCCCGGCTTCTGAAAAAGGAAGTGAATCAAACCCGCTGAGCCCGTTAAACGTCCTGAAGGCTGACTCAAAGGCTTCCTGAACTCATCGTTGTCAGTGACCTGGGGATCGGAAAGCAGACATCACACACCTGTCCTCCCCCAGGTCCCAGGGAGCCAGGCCTTTCACTTCCCAGTAAAAGAATCCAGGCCTGGCAGGGGGTGGCAAGCGGCCAACCTTCACTCCAAGCCTGAGTAGACAGCCAAGGCCTGAGTCACTCCCTCCTGGCCCAGAGAGGGAGGCAAGCTGCCCCAGTGTTGTTCTCTTGACCTTGCCCAACATCATCCCAGACCGTCTCCCGAAAGGCCAGGGAGGGTCCACAAAGGGCATGTGAGAGCCCAGGAGCCAGAGTCCTTGGGTCCCATCCTGATGGGGCCAAATAACATTATGTCACGTGGAGAAATTATTTCACTTCTCTGAACCTCAGCTTCCTCCCTTGCAAAAATAGGGATGATAGCCCTAACCGGTTTGGCTCAGTGGATAGAGCGTCGGCCTGCGGAATGAAAGGTCCCAAGTTCGATTCCGGCCAAGGGCATGTACCTTGGTTGCGGGCACATACCCAGTGGGAGGCGTGCAGGAGGCAGCTGATCGATGTTTCCCTCCCATCGATGTTTCTAACTCTCTATTCCTCTCCCTTCCTCTCTGTAAAAAATCAATAAAATATATTTTAAAAAAAAAATAGGGATGATACCCACCTGGCAGAGGTGTTGTGATAGGACTTATAAGGGTGCCTGGAGCATAGTAAGCACCCAATGAGAGAGGTTGGCGTGGCCTCGGTCTCAGGCCTTAGCCCTTTTCCTGCACTACACTCACACCCTGAGCGATCTTATCCAGTCCCATGGCTTTAAATTCCATCTTCATGCTGGATACTGGCCCCTAAATTCTCTCGCCCTGAGGTCTCCTGGAACACACCCTTCAACTCCACACTTGCCCACCCACCTACTGCCTCCATTTGCATGTCCAATAGCAGCTCCAACATAACAGGCCATCCGCCTTTGTGGTTTCTTCCCGCCGCAGCCTGCTGCTCCTCGCCTTCTCCATCTCTGTTAATGGCAACTCCATGTGGCTCAGGCCAAACACTTGGGAGTCATTCTTAAGTGCTCACATTCTCTTATACCCCACACCAACTGCAGCAAATCCAGTCTTCCCTGTGTTCAAAATGGTTCCAGAATCTACGCCTCCGCCCCTCCCCCCCCAGCACCTCCACTGCTACCATCCCTAGTCTGTCTCCCTACCTCCCCCATTGCCTCATGTCATTCCTCTGCCTCAAACCCAGTGGGTCCTCATGTTCTCGGATGGGCCTTATTGTGGCCCATGGGTGTGCACATGCCTGCATCACCTCTCCAACTTTGCCATCAAACCATGCACACATGTGTGCACGCGCGCACACACACACGCACGCACGCACACACAGCCTCACTTCCTCCCTCCCCCTCACTAACTCTGGCCACCAACAAGCCTTGCATCTCCCACCCAGGAGCCTCTGCACTTTCTCTTCCCACCGTCTGCTACGTCCTTCCCACAGATATCTACATGGCTGCGTCCCTCCCTTCCTTCTGGCCCCCACTCAAGCATCACCCTGTCAGCGAGGCAATACTGCCTACCCCATCTGCCAGTGTTCCCTAACCCTTCACCCTCAGGAAACAGGTCCCCGGAGAGATTTCATATTTAACTGTCACTGGCCATCTTCCCCACTTGAATGTAAGCCCCGTGAGGGCAAGGTCATGGCTTTACTCACTGTGGCATCCCCAGTGCCTAAAGAGTGCCTGGCCCTGTCAGTGGGCATTTGTTTGGTGGACAAGAAGGGAGGGAGAGACTCAGGAGCACAACTGGACCATCTTCCCTTCCCTTCCTCCTTGGGCTCATGGCTGTGGTGGTGGAGCCTTTTCACTTCCAAAGCCCTTTCTTCTGTATGTTCTCAGGCCGTCCTCACAACAAACCATTTCATAGGGGCATGCCTGACTGTCCATCCCCCTTCACAGACCAAGCTACTGAAGCCAAGGCAGTCCAGTGACACGGTTCAGGTGCCATGAGCCTTCGTCGCCCGGCCTGAGGGTGGCAGCCAGGCTGATGTCAGGCTGGTCCCTTTTCTAGCCCAGCATCAGCTCCAGGGGGCAGGAGGTCGACTCCCTTCAAGGTTTGACTCGACATTCCACTGCCCCCCCACATGAGGACCAGGACTCACCTCTGAAAGGTGGGGGGGGTCACAGGGAGTGGGGCTGGAAGGCCAGAGGTCCCCACTGACAGCACTTCCCTGCCCTTCCCTTTCTCTTCTGAAGACAGATGGGACTGCCCCAGGCCAGCTTTGTGCCTACACACCCCTGGCCTCCCTCTCTGAAAACCTGCCAGGGATAGAGACAAGGGACAGATAGGATCTGGTGATCCATCTGTGATTGCTTTGATCACAGCCTGGAGAGGGACTCGCTCTCTCTGGTCCAAGATCTGGGCCCAGCCCAGTGCCACCACCGCAGGCCACTAGGTGGTGTCCCAGGGCTCGGGCCACGGCTGCTCCTAAGAAAGGGCAAACAGAGCGGCTCCTCTCTCAGAATCCAAGAATCTGCCCCGCCCCCACCCTTGGACTGACTAAAAGGGAAAGGAACCACCCAACCACCCCAGGGGTCTTAGAATCCAAGATCCGAGAGTGTCAGGATGATGTACTCCTAAGGTGGGAAATACGAGGTACACACGCCACCAGTTCGTTTCCTGCGTCCCTGGCAGACATCACTAATCCATCCCAGTATTGTTGTCCTCAGAACCATTTTTTGTTTTTTTAACAACGCGCTCTGGGCAGGCCACTACCAAGTGATTAGAACTGGCAAGCAAGACACAACCTGCTTGCCAGCCCTTTCACTTCCCGTACAAGAAGGGTAGGCCCGGGCTAACTTTGGCCCATCAGGAATCCAGGCTGCAAAAGCCGGCAGGGCCAGAATGAGGTCATAGGACCCCTGGGACGCTTGTGTAACCGTGGCTAAGTTCTGGGGAAACCTCAAGTGGGTAACGGCAGCGTTAATGGAGAGGCTGCTGGGCCGGGGCAGCTGCATCCTTGTCCAATTGTCACCTCAGACGTGGTGGGGGCGGGGCGCGGGGAAGTCTGCCCAGCTTCTTGGCTTCTGAGCTGGAGAGGCCCCAGAAGGGGGAGAAATGAAGGGAGAGTGGGCC